GAGGAGCCGCCTAGTTTTAGACACTGATTTTAAGGCAAATTTTCATAATAATAACGTCAGTAAAAGTGTAATGGCCGTTAAACGCTGTAGAATCTAATTGGTGGTGATACTGTCTCTTTCAGCATATATGAAGACATTTTGTTGTTGTTGTTAGAGCATGTCCAATGGGGGGATGAGGGGAGTCTCTAATGGCTTTTTTAATTAAAAAGAAAATTTTTAATCATGTTTTTAAGCAGGATCGATCCTAATTTAGTAGTTTTTGGAGACCCATTAATTACTCCGACGTGTCGCATTGTGGTTGGTTAGATGATTTTATTTTATTTTTGATTTTATTTATTCAAACACTCTGTTTTGATTAGAGGGTTTGAAGTTGGGTTGGTTTTTATTTTTTGTCTAACCTTCTTCGTCTTCTTCTTCGGAGGAGACTTCGGTGATATCAGAGAGAGGCGAGAGAGAGGCGATTAAACGGACAACTGATCAGCGATGCTTATTTGATCGGTGGATGGATCAAATAAGATCGGTGGATGCAGATGCGAAGATCGGCGCTGCAGATGCGAAGATCGGTGGATGGATGGATGATGATCGGCGATGCTTATTTGATCGGTCGAGGTACAGACAACTGATCGGCGATGGCTTATTTGATGTAAATCAAAGCACAGTCAAAGCAAATTCAGAGATGGGTATATTACAAGTAAGATTTTTACTCAGTTTATTGATTTCCCGAAAATGTAGTGAGTTAATGAATTAGGAAGGCTTTGATGTGGTTGATGATTGATGGTTTGGATGGATTGGATTACTGATTGAATCAATGCTCTGTAGTGGTTAGGTTTGCATTAGATATTGTAGTCAATGCTTTGTTGAATTAGGATGTGATTTGTAGTTGCTCTATGTCACGGTTGATAAATGTGAGAGTGGAATCAATGCATTTGTGTCACAATGAATGCTTCGGTTAAAACTCTAATAACTAGTTTCTTTTGCTCATGTCTTCAGAAACTACAAACTCTTAACTACAAACTCTAACTTAACTCTAACTTAACTTGAACTTTAAATCTATCTTCAATGCTAACTCCATCTTGAATAAGCTTCTATATATTGAAGCTCACTTTGTTTTTTTTAAAAGACACACACCCAAACTTCTTTCCACACTTTTTAAAAGACACACCGAAATCACACACCCAAACACACACCCTAAACACATTCACTAAACCTTCCAATGGATTCAACTAATCCTTTTTCTGACACATCAGGCTTCATGGACCTGCTAACTAGCCAACAAAGAACCCAAACCCATAGCCTTGAACCCATGGAAACAACCATAGCACTCGGTGATTCACAAGTTCCAGTGTTTGGAACACAATGGAGTGATGCTCCAAGTCCAACTGATGCACAAGAGAAGGAGCGTAAGACCAGGAAGCCATGGACTCCTGCTGAAGATCTTGCGCTTATAAGCGCCTGGCTTAATACCAGCAAGGATCCAATCATCAACAATGGGCAAAGGGCAGATGCATTCTGGAAAAGAATAGCCATCTACTATGCGGCGAGTCCTGACGTGTCTGCTGAAGATAAGAGAGGGCCAACTAACTGTAAGCAGAGATGGGCCAAGATAAATGAGTTTGTCTGCAAGTTTGTTGGGTCGTATGAGGCAGCTTCATCTCAAAAAACATCAGGTCAAAATGAAAATGATGTAATGAAGCTGGCTTTGGAGATATTCCACAATGATTACAAACACAAATTCACCATGGAGCACTGCTGGAGAGAACTGCGTCATGATCAGAAGTGGGCAGGAAATGGAAGCTCAAAAAAAAGAAGAACCGATGGTGCTAGAGTTGAAGGAACCGATGCTCCTTTGAGGCATGGAGATGATGAAGGAATTCCTCGGCCTGCTGGTGTAAAAGCTTCCAAGGGCAAAAAAAAAACAACAAAGACCAATGGTGGTCGTTTGGAAGAAGATGGTAAGGATTTAGTGGACTTTAGAAGCATCTTTGAGCTAAGGGAAAGGGAGTTAGCATTGAAAGATAAGACTAACAAGCAAAAGATACTCGAAAATCTGCTTGCAAAAACCGAACCTCTTACTGAGGTAGAATTCGAGCTTAAGAACAAGCTCATTAAGGAAATGTTGTCAAATATGTGAGAGTTTGTATGAGTGAGTTAAGGATGAGGTCTGTTTTTCTTTGGTATGAGTTAGTTTTTGGGTATGTCATATTGTTAAGTCTTTTGGGTATGTCATATTGTTAAGTCTTTTTGGGTATGTCATATTGTTAAGTCTCGGGTATAACTTCTATGTCTTGTAATGTTTGTTCTATGTATTTTTATAAAGCCTTTCAGTTGTTTGTCTTTTGGTTTAGGTTCTATGTATTGTATTCAAGACTCCATATATATATATGATTCTGTTTCCTTTATCATTTGTATGACTTATATTCACTTGTTCATGATCTCTTTTTTCTTATTGCAGGCAACAAAGTCATGGACAAACGGCTACAAAGGAGGCTTTGAAGAAATGGCTACAATTTGTATATTCATATAGGTTTGGGCCACCATTATTATTTTGGCCGATGTTTTGTGCAATATAAGGTTTGGAACTGGTACTTAGCTATATTTTGGGCCTGCTATTTTGTATTGGCCGTTAAAAACTTTTAGCCGATGTTTTTATGTCCCACTTCTTTTTCTGTCCCAATTTGTTATGTCCCACTTCTTTTTATCCGATGTTTTTGGCCAAGTCTTTAGCAAGTGGTGGTTTTGTATTCATATGTACACACCACACAATTTATTACACAATTTATGGCACAATTTATTACACACCATACAACTCATCCCACCACATATTCAATGAATGGTGTAAACTCAAGCGTATTGTCTATATATTAGAAGATTGCAAATGCTCACAAACAAATCATCTTATTCAACATCATCTTTATTTTTTACAACTCTCTTCTTCCTACATCGTTTTCTAACTCTCTTCATCATCTTTCTTTCTCATAACAAAAAACCATCTTCTATGGCATCTTCATCCAATAATAATTTTGAGAAAATTATTGAAGACAAATTCGAGGAAGCTTTTGAAAATGCATATGAAAATGCATTTGAAAATCTACTTGTTAATCAGAGCAATCGTCAAAGATCAACCAAAAAAAAAAAGAGCATATATTGAGAGAGATCGAGAACAAGGCCATATCCGTTTATGGAACGACTATTTCCGGGAAGATTCAACATATCCACCCTATATGTTTCGTCGTCGTTTCAGAATGAACAAACCTTTGTTCATGCGTATTGTTGATGGCCTCTCTACTCATCTTCCATTCTTTCAACAAAGACGAGATGCTACCGAAAGATCCGGTCTCTCTGCACTACAAAAATCTACGGCAGCCATTCGTATGATGGCATATGGTTGTGCGGCTGATGCGGTTGATGAATACCTCCGGCTTGGTGAAAGCACCGCCCTTTCTTGCTTGGAAAATTTTGTAGAAGGAATCATATATCTTTTTGGAGATGAGTATCTACGAAGACCCACACCAGAAGATCTTCAACGCCTACTAGATAGTGGAGAATCTCGCGGATTTCCCGGGATGATAGGAAGCATCGATTGTATGCATTGGGAGTGGAAAAATTGTCCCACTGCTTGGGCCGGACAATTCACACGAGGATCTGGCAAACCGACAATCGTTTTAGAGGCTGTAGCTTCAGAAGATCTTTGGATATGGCACGCATTTTTTGGCCCGCCAGGTACTTTAAATGATATTAATGTGCTCGATCGTTCTCCGGTATTTGATGATATATTACAAGGTAAAGCTCCGAAAGTGAATTATTTTGTCAACGAACGACAGTATCACTTAGCTTACTATCTCACCGATGGAATTTATCCAAAATGGGCTACATTTATCCAATCTATAAGCCGACCACAAGGTGACAAAGCATGTTTTTTTGCAAAACGTCAAGAAGCTACCCGTAAAGATGTCGAGCGTGCTTTTGGAGTCTTGCAAGCTCGGTTTGCCATTGTCAAAAATCCAGCTCTGATGTGGGATAAGGTGAAGATAGGAAAAATTATGCAAGCTTGTATAATACTTCATAACATGATTGTAGAAGACGAACGAGATGGGTACAGTTTGTCTAATGTTGAAGAATTCACACAAGGAGAATCAAACAGAACTTCACATGTGGATATGACGTATTCTACCAATATGCCTTTAAATCTCACTAATATTATGGCCATCCGGAATTCACTGCATTCTCGAACTACGCATGAACAATTAAAAGAAGATTTAGTTGAGCATTTGTGGAATAACTTTGGTTCAATTCAAGATTACAACTAATCTTATTATTTCCGGTTTATGATTTGCATCTCTCTTTTGTTTTGTTTTTCTGTATTCTATGTCTAAGTTTGTATTAATTAAATATTTGTATTAATAAAATGTGTGTATTAATAAAATATTTGTATTAATATAATGTTTGTATTCATAAAAATGTTTGTATTTGAAAAATTGTAAAAAAAAAAAAAACAATTAGAGCCTCTCTTTAAGAGACTACCATTGAACACTAATCTAATGAAAAAATTATAATGGAGTTCTAGTGCATTAAAAAGAATAAAAAACTATTAAAATTAGGATTAGATCCCCTTCTTTGTATACTATGGATGGAGGTGGTCTTAGAAATTTATGAGGAAAGATGAGTCTGAATCTGATTGGTGATACTGTCTCTTTCAGTATATGTAAAGACATTTTGTTGTTGTTGTTAGAAATTTATGAGGAAAGATAAGTCTTTTGCAATAACTAAAAAACAAAATTTCCATGGGAAAATTTTTCAACTCATCTCGTCACGAGGAAATTCTTCATTTTTTGTTGGGTCATTAATTATCAATTTTCTTTATAAACTTGGTGAAACAGACACCATGAAAAAAAGAAAAAAAAACTAAAAAGATTGATGTTAGTACTTGGCATCATCAATCATCATCATCTATTGCGTAAATTTCTTCAGAGATAATGATGCCTATAAAGCACCGAGATAAACAATGAAAAGCCTAATCATCATCAATCATCATCAGCATCATTGCTTTAGGTCATAACACTCAGGTCGCTGTACAAAGCCTAACCTCAAAAAAAAAGGAACAGATTCATCCACAGGAATATATACAAGCAGAGCAACACAGAGACAAACATGTGAGCACAAGAACAGAGCAAAAGGAACAATAGAGTGATGTCAAGAATTTACGAACAAAACAAAAACATAAGTACTGTTTTTGGTTTACGTTACAAGAATCCGAAGAGAACTCATCTGGTGATTTCTTCATTGTCTGCACCCGAAACTCTCTTATACCTGAAATTTACACAGAGCATCACCAATTGGAAATTAACTCAGTTAAATCTGTATAGAGACTGTTCTCTCTGGTCTGTGTGGCTAAAGAAAAGAGCAAGGAATCTCACCTGAAAGAAGTAGTTGGGCTGGGATCGATTCTCTCGCGAGGAGCAAACTCATTGTAGAACTGAACAGAGACCATACGGTTATTGGCTGAAACAGTTGGTGCAGGAGAATTGTCTGAATTCAAACTTGCATTGCTTGTGAAGAACCCTGCAATAGAGAATTTTATGAGATAACAGAAGCTTTGGTCATTTCACAAGAAGACACACACACACACAGACCCAAAAGATATACCTAACAGAACATTTGACCAAAGATCTCCTAAGCTACAACAAGAAAGATAACACGTGTGTGATTGGTGAAGAACCAACATTACACAAAGATAAGACATAAATAAAAAAGAAGCAACAGAAACCATGCGGAACCAAACCAACATAGCAATTTTGTGTTCTTCAAAACTTGATCAAGGAAACTTAAAAACGGTGTTTTCACCTTGAAAAATTAGGAAGACGAAGAATATAACCGTGACTATCATTGCGAAAACGCTACTGCAGGGAGACGATGACTTTGCTGCTTTCATTCTTCTCAATGTCTTCATACGTTCAATCCTAGCACGCTTTCTCATAGCGAGCTCCGCGATTTCCCTCATCAACTTCTGGTCATTTGCAGTCAGTGACGGACCTTTTGGAGGTCTCGGCGGCTTTGAAGGCTTCCTCGTCTTCTTAAGCTTAACACTATCGAATTTTCTGCCCGAAAGGTCCAAACTTTGACTGCTTCTTTCTCTCCGCTTTCCGTCTCCCATTAACGGGTTTATCAGATCATCAGCAACCTTTTCAGACCCATCATAGCTCAAACGTCCACTCCAAACCTGTTCCAAAACATCATCCTCTGATTTTTCTTCTGATAAAACAAGATCCGAGGTGATCTCTTGTGTCTCGTCGAATCTACCACCTTCAATATCAACATCAAGATCTTCTTCTCCTGAAACAATTTGATCCATCCCGCACAAACACTGATCAAACCCTTACAAAATTAATCTTCTTTAGAGGCTTCCTCAGCTCAAAAGACTTGCTCTTTAAGTCCCTTCGTCCTCCTAATATAGCAAATGACGCAATTCATCAACAAAACTGCAATAGAGCATAATCAAAATGTTAATATGGTTTAGTCAAAACCCTAACATCACCACCCAATCACCTCCGCTTTTGAATCTACCGAAACAACCACTGATACATGTGAATCATAATTTGCAAATCCTTTCATTTCTGGAGCAAACCAAACGACAAAAAAGTTTTGATATTTATTGGAACTTACAGCTTATTAGATTAACCCATTTCTCAAGCACATATTCTAGAGAAAAAACCTCTGATTTTATTTAAGATTTCAATTTGATAAAGAAAAAAACAGAAAAATTCCTTCAGACAACAAAATTAAGAACTCACGGATTCAAGCATAATCGCTGGGAATGTCGAGACCCCTCGATGCTGCGAGGTACGAGGAGAGACAAAAAGGAAGAACTTTGAATCCAATTTTGGGAAAGGAAAGAGAGAGTATTCCAACCCCAAATTAGGGTTCATATGGGTAGAATTTTTTTTTCTTTTTCGATTATATCCGTTTGGTTTTTTTTTTTATATATATATAAATAGAGAAACACAACACACTCGGATGTCTTTTGGATTTTAATGTCGCCGAACAAATTTTAAATTTGGAAAAAACTTTCAAGACGTGCCAGCTTTCTTCAGAATCTTACGGACTTTCGGGTCTTCTTTTTATTGTTTTCTTTTCAATATTATAATTTAAAAATTAGGAAATCAAAATACACAGAAAAATCAAAAGTTGACAAGAAAAAGTTTAGGAAATCAAAACACAAAACTGTATAGAAAAGTCGACAAAAATTTAGTTTTTTTTAAAAAAAATGTCGACTTATTTTTCTGAAAAGTATAAACTGTTGTGAAAACTTAGAAACTTTATTAATCACTAGAATGTATATATAGAGTACATAGGGAATCTAGATTAAGTACAATGTCCTGATGGGCCTAATGGGCCGGTATAAGAGTCCATATATGATATGTGTTATAACACTCCCCCTTGGACGAGTGAACCGGGTCAGCTACTCAATCGGGATCTCGATAATGCGCTGGGGAATGTTGCCTCATTAAAACCTTACCAGGAAAAACCCAGTGGGACAAAACCATGGTGAAGGAAAAAGAGTACAACACGCATTACTCCCCCTGATTGTAGCATCACTGCAGATCTCTAAGTCTATACATTCCTATCTATTTGACGAGCTTCCGGTGTGTTGAAGTAGGCAATGATTTGGTGAAGAGGTCAGCTGAATTCTCACTGGATCGGACCTGCTGAACGCTGAGAGTGCCGTCCTTCTGCCAGTCTGAGGTTGAGAAGAACTTCGGTAGAATGTGCTTCGTCCGATCTCCTTTGATATATCCTTCCTTGAGCTGAGCTATGCATGCCGCGTTGTCTTCATACATCACCGTGGGCTGTGTGTCTTCGTCCATACCACAATCTCTGCGGATGTGCTGAGTCATGGAGCGCAGCCAGACGCATTCCCTACTAGCCTCATGAATGGCTAGGATTTCAGCATGGTTTGATGAAGTGGCAGTGAGTGTCTGCTTTATTAATCTCCAAGAGATGGCTGTTCCTCCATGCGTAAAAACGTAGCCAGTTTGAGACTTGGCAGTGTGCGGATCTGATAGATATCCTGCATCGACGAAGCCGACTAACCCATCTTTATTTTGGTTAGTATAGAAGAGTCCTAAGTCTTGAGTACCTCGAAGGTATCTTAGGAGATGTTTTATACCGTTCCAGTGCCTCTGAGTTGGAGATGAACTATATCGAGCGAGGAGGTTCACGGCAAAACATATGTATGGTCTAGTGTGACTAGCCAGGTACATTAACGCTCCTACAGCACTGAGGTATGGCTTTTCAGGACCAAGGATTTCTTCATCATCCTTTTTGGGACCAAGAGGGTCATCACTTAAGCTTCTAACTACCATTGGGCTGGTCAATGGGTGAGCTTGGTCCATATTAAATCGCTTGAGTACCTTTTCGATATAAGCCGATTGATGCACAAGGATTCCTCCTTTGATGTACTCAAGTTGTAATCCCAAACAGTACTTTGTTTTGCCTAGGTCTTTCATTTCGAATTCTGCTTTTAAGCAGTCGACTGTTTGGGAGATCTCACCAGATGTTCCGAGGATGTTTAGATCATCCACGTATACTGCTATGATTACAAATCCTTTGTTTGAGTACTTCTTGATGAAGATGCATGGACTGATGGGGTCATTTTTGTAGCCTTCTTTGATGAGGTAATCGCTGAGGCGGTTGTACCACATACGCCCACTTTGTTTCAGTCCATACAAGGATTTGTTCAGCCTGATGCAGTATTGATCTCGAGATGCATTTTTGTCTTTTAGTTCAATGCCATCTGGGAGTCTCATATATATTTCGTTGTCCAGGGGCCCATAGAGATATGCGGTTACAACATCCATTAACCGCAGATCAAGATTTTCTCTTATGGCCAGACTTATGAGGAATCGGAATGTTGTTGCATCCACCACTGGAGAATAAGTCTCCTCATAATCGATTCCAGGTCTCTGTGAGAATCCTTGTGCTACAAGCCGTGCTTTGTATCGAACGACTTCACCGAGTTCGTTCCTTTTGCACACAAAGACCCATTTGTGGCCTACTGGCTTGATGTGTGATGGGGTCCGGATGATCAGACCGAACACGTTTCTGAGTTTGAGACTCTTTAACTCCACGTTTATGGCTTCTTTCCATTTTAGCCAATCTGTTCGATGTGTACACTGTGTTATTGACGTGGGTTCTAGATCCTCTTGCGTGAGCGCAACATCAAGTGCTACTTTGTATGCAAAGAGTGCATTTAAGTCGACTTCTTTTCGATTCCATTGTATTCCGGACATATTGTAATTGATGGAGATCTCATTGTTATCTTCTGAACCTGGAGATTCGGCGTCCCGAACTTCCATTGAGGGTTCATTAGATTGAGTCTCAGCCGCGGCTATGTCTGATATTGCAGGAATCCCGGTTTCGGTTATTGCACCTTTCTTTGATTTCCGGGGATTCTTATCTTTGGAACCGAGAGGTCTGCCCCGTTTGAGACGTGGTGCAGACTCTGTAGCAACTTGAGTCTGTCCCGTTGGGACAGCTATTCGTACTGGTGCATTACAAGCTGGGATGTACGATTTGGTTACTTTGGTCGGGTCAGCAAAGGAATCTGGCAATTGATTAGCTAGCTTTTGATAATGAATAATCTTTTGGATCTCTGAATCACATTCTAGAGTCCGAGGATCTTGCCAATTTAATGATGTTTGATTCCATGAAAGATCTTTGACCAGCTTGTTTGTCTCACCACCTAAAGAGGGATATACCGATTCATCGAATTGGCAATCCGCATATCTGGCCTTGAAGAGATCTCCAGTGGTTGGCTCGAGATATCTTATGATGGTGGGAGAGTCAAAACCAACATATATTCCCATCCTTCTTTGAGGTCCCATTTTGGTTCGATGTGGTGGAGCAATGGGTACATATACTGAACACCCAAATGTTTTGAGATGGGAGATGTCTGGCTCATGACCCGAGAGTAGTTGGGATGGGGAATATTTGTATTCACTAGATGGCCGGATGCGTATGAGTTCAGCAGCATGTAATACTGCATGTCCCCATGCTGAGGCCGGGAGCTTTGATCTCATGAGTAATGGTCGGGCTATCCATTGAATGCGTTTAATGAATGATTCAGCCAATCCATTTTGAGTATGGACATGTGCTACAGGATGTTCCACGGTTACCCCCATGGCCATACAGTAGTCATTAAACGCTTGTGAGGTAAATTCACCAGCATTGTCAAGGCGGATAGTCTTTAGTGGGAAGTCAGGGAAATGGGCCCGCAATTTTATGATTTGGGCCAAGAACCTAGCGAAGGCTTGGTTCCGAGAGGACAAGAGACAAACATATGACCAACGGGTCGATGCGTCTATAAGGACCATGAAGTACCGGAATGGTCCGGAAGATGGATGTATAGGTCCACAGATATCGCCCTGGATTCTTTCTAGGAAATGAAGTGTTTGTTTAGAGATTTTAACTGGTGAAGGCCGAGTGATCAATTTGCCTTGAGAACAAGCTGTGCACATGAGGTGTGTTGAGGATAAGCTCGGTTTTCTTTGAGGGTATGCCTTTGAGAGTTTTGAATTAGTTTACGCATCATATTTGCACCGGGATGACCGAGCCGGTCGTGCCAAATAGTATAATCAGTAAACCGGGCTTTGAGAGTGGTATTAGCTTCAATCATACTGACTTTAGCATGGTAAAGTCCAGTAGAGAGCGCGGGTATGGTTTCGAGGATTTGTTTATGGCCGTCTACGGTTTTAGTGACTAGGAGGGATTCTTTGTTCCCTTGACCTTGGGTTTCTATGTGGAAACCATTCTGTCTTATATCCTTGAAGCTCAGAAGATTTCTCTTCGAACTAGGAGAATATAGAGCATCTGGTATTTCAAGTTGTGTGCCATTTGATAGCAACACATAGGCATGGCCATATCCTTCGATAAGGTTTGAGGGACCCGCGATGGTGCTAATATTTGCGGTTTGATAGGTTAGGTTTATGAAGTAACTTTTGTTTCTTAAGATAGTGTGGCTGGATCCACTATCTACGACTATGGTTTCCATTTGCTGGTGTGCTTCATTATGAATAGAAGATAGAATTCAGTATTGAGGAATTCAGAAAATGTGATAAATCATAAAGTAAAGCAGTGTCTGAGAATAAAGGCAAATGAAACAAATCCCAAAATGAAAAAAAAAATAAAGAACAAAATCAAATTGTATCAGAGTTTCAGATGATTGAATTAATCGAGGAGATCAGCTGTTTCATAGTCCATGGGGTCGGTCTGCTCGTTTGTGGTGTTCTCATCATCAAGGAGGTCGTCACCTTCCAGGTTAGCAGCATCGACTGGCTGAGTCATGTTGGCTTCAGCAGGAGCTTTTCCGTACTTCTGGTATAGATCGCAGTGGATCTTGGGGGTGCGACATTGCTTTGTTGGGTGGTTGAACATCCCACATCTGGTACAAGCAGAGTGATCAGGGTTGGTGTGGCGGGTCGGCTTGGTGATGCCTCGACCACGACCAGGACCATAACTGAGGTTAGGTCGGTTGCCACGACCATAACTGAGGTTAGGTCGGTTGCCACGACCATGTCTGCGTCCACGTCTTCCACGTCCATGTCCTCGGCCATTACCACGTCCATTACCACGTCCACGGCGGTGATCTGAGGATCTATCGGGTTGAACATGGTAGGACTCTTGACGAGAAGCTGGGATAGGAGCCGATCCCGGGGGCCTCATAGCGCTGTTCCTCATAAGCAGCTGGTTATTCTTCTCAGCGAGGAGAAGACAGGACAACAAGTCTTCGTACAATGTGTGTTTCATTGCACGGTATTGTTGTTGGAGCACAACATTCTCTGTGCTGAATGTGGATAATGTTTTCTCGAGGAGATCATTATCTGTCACATCCTCGCCACAGAGTTTCCGGATGGCAACAATACGAAAGAGTTCGTTGTTGTAATCATCTACGGATTTGTAGTCCTGGAACCGAAGGTTCTTCCAGTCGAAATCTGCCTGAGG